ATATGAGGCCGGTCACACCTCAGCATTCGTATGAAAAGACTTTTGACCTCTGGGATCCCCTGACAGGGTCTCCGGGACCCCTAGGGGACCCTGAACCACACTTTGGGGCCCCCATGACATAGGTCCACAGTTTTGAAATCAATAAAGCTCCGGAAAAAAGTTTTATTATAGGTTTGGGGGCAGAACTTGATCCAAACAGACACACAGTCTTAAATTATTTATCCTCCTCAGTGGGACCGTTGGTAGATCTCACCCCAGAAATAGTAAAGTGAACAGCCAGACCACACTGCGGCCGTTCAGAATACACAGCATATGGTCCTATGAATTATTACAATCTAAAAATTCCCCAATCCAGGCCACGTCTGGCCCCCAGGGTTTCAGAGAAGGAACCTATCAGAAATAAAAGTTCCATACATGGCTATTTCCCCTACCACGAGCACGCACTCTGCTACGTTCTAGCTTATTCTATTTTCCAAAAAGCTCTGGTCACAACCCACAAGCTTGACGTCACACCTCGGCTCAGTGCTCATAGTTTGAAACCCTCTAGGAGAGCTTCTGTAAGGCCCTGTGACATCCCCACCCACGAAGGGCGGGGAACCCGGTTGACTTGTTCCCTGCTGCACGTCCAGCTGCTGGCACAGGGCCTGGCTAAGCACACAGCAGGCGTTTAATAAGTGTTTGTTGAGTGAATAAATGAATACATAGCCAGCCTGGGACAGAGTTAGGACTGTAACCCCGCCTGCGCCGCTCCCTGAGCATCTGCCCACATCTCTTCCAGACGCCCAGTTAGCGACCTCCAGGCTCTTGGGATCCTCATCTAGCCGCTGCTTCCTCCCGGGGAATGCGCTGAACCTGAGCCTCCCTTCTGGAGGAACCAGAACTACATTTCCCACAAGTCTCAGGGCTGGGACTACACTTCCCATAAGCCTCTGCTTCCGCCAAGTCCTGTGCCCTTCAGCCACGGGGGCAGCTAATTGCATCTTTGCTCACGCGCATCCCCCACCACCCCCCATTCCGTTCTCTCCCCGTGCGTGATGGTCAGTCTATCCTGCAGCCATGGTCTCGGCACCCGCTCCCTCCCACCCTTCCTCCCGCGACGAACCTGCCTCAGTTTCTCCAATGAGACCCCCGAGAGGCAGCTCCCTCCCCCTCCCCTGGGGTCCCTGATGAGGAGGGCTGTGTGTTGCGGGGGTTGTGAGCTCCGGTCCTGAGTGCGCCCTGAGTCACGGCTGCGCGTTTTGGAGTCCTGGGGTCTTGGACCCCTGCTGGGGGGCGGGGGCGGGGGCGGGGGGAGGGTCGCCTCCGCGGTGTGTAACGAGGCTGCGTCGGGGATGCGCAGCTCCCGCCCCGCCTCCCCCGGGAGGGACGCAGCGCGGCTGCTCGGGGACGGCAGAGACGTCCGCGCGTGCGGTGGGCGTCCGTGCTTCCGGTGTGTCTGCAGCTCGGGATGCTGGGGGATGGGGGGGACCCCGAGACGGCGGCGGCCTGGCACGTGATGTGTGCGTCCTTGTGTGTTTTGTCTGAGTCCCTGAGGGACCGAGTTCCCGTCCCCGCTCTGCCACTTCCCTGCTGTGTGCCTTGGGGCAGGTGACTGCACCTCGCTGTGCCTCAGTTTCCTCATCTGTGCGATGGGGATGATACAACCGCCTGTCTCAGAGGGCTGTTGTGAGGATTAAAAAGTAAAATGTGTAAAGCGCTGAGAACAACGACTGGTGCAGAGCAAAAGCTCACAAGAATAAATAAATAAAATAAACTATGCTTATCTATCTTTTGTATGAGGCAAGTGTCTATGGCTGTGTACTGGCTGTGTAACGTCCTAGGAAATGTGGGTATTTGTGATGTGTGCCTGTGTCTTTGTGTGTGTAGTGCGTGTCTGCATCTTGGTGTGTGTAACTGTGCCCACCTGGTGTATCTATCTATGTGATGGGTGCCTATGGTGGGTGATGTTCGTAACCTTGTAGGATGTGTGTGTACATTGTGATGTGTGTGTCCCTCTGTGTTTAGGTATGTGATGTGTGTATCTTTGTGTTGTATGTGTCTGTGTTGTGTGTCTGCGTGTCCCTGTATGGATAATGTCTGTGCCTGTGTACACTTTTATGTATGCATCTGTATGCATCAGTGTGCTGTATGTATGTGTATTTTTTAATGTGATTTGTGTAGCTTTGTATGCCTGTGTGATTCTCTGAATGTGTTGTGTGTGTCTGTATCCAGGTGTGAGTTGTGCCTGTCTATGTGCATCTGTGCATATCACGCGTGTCTGTGTGTATTCATGTGAGTGAAATGTGTCTATGTGAGAGCTGTATCTTGTATGTACCTGTGTCTGTGTGTGTGTATTTGTGTATGTGATGCGCATATCTATGTATCTGCTGTGTGTCTGCGTACATTTGTGCATGTGATACATGTTTCCATGTTAGTGTATGTCATGTGTGTGTCTATGTGCAAATAGTGTCTGTACTGGTGTGATGTGTGTGTCTGTGTGTCTCTGTGGATGTGATGCTTGTGTCTGTGGGGATTCTTTGTTGCCCATTTGTCTGTGGAATGTCTGTGCTCGTGATTGTGTCCCTCGGTATGTCGCCGTGGTGTCCGCGTGGATCTTTGTCTGTGGCGTGCGCGTCTGTGGATTTGGGGCTTACTTTGTCTGTGGCGTGTGTGGGTCTTTGTGAGGCTTTGCGTGGTTCCTGCGTGGCCGGGTGCATCTGTGCCGGGGGCCGGCCTGCCTGTGCGTTCCCAGTGCAGCTCGTCGTCCCTGCGTCTTTGTGTGTGACGTGGACGTGTCCCCGTCTGCCGATGGCTGTCCACCTTTGTATGTGATGTGCTTGTCTCTGAGGGTCTCTGCGATGTGTATCAGTCGTGTGTGGGCTGTGTGTGCCTGCCTGACATCTGCATCTTGGCGTGGAGCACACGTGTCCATGCTGGTGGCATGTCACAGCAGTGTCTGGGCCAGGCACTCTGGGCCCTGCAACCCCCCCCCCAAGGGTCTGCTGGTCCCTGTCTGTCCCACCCCCTCCCCTCCCTCCTGGCAGCCAATGCTACTGGGGAGCCAGTTGCCATGACGACGCTCCATCCTCCCTCCATCCTCCCTCCTTCCTCCCTCCTCCTACCCTTCCTCTGACAGGCTCTCTGCTCCCCCAATCCCGGCTGCCCTCGGGGGCGGGGCCCTCATTCTTCCCCCCCCCATCCTACCCTCTCCCCCCCCCCCCCCCCCAAAAATGTGCTCGGGCCACAAGACAGACCCGGAGCTGCCACCATAGTGCTGCCGTCTCCAACAGACCTTTCTGTGAAGGTGGCAGTGTTCTAGACCTGAGCTGTCTAACACAGGTGCCACTGGGCCTATGCGGATTACTGAGCCGTTGAAATGTGGCGGGTGTAGCTCAGGAACTGAATCTTTAATTTGA